TTAATTCTAAGTGTTTTTATGTCCCTAAGGCGTGCCCCTATCACTTTAAGTGGTTATATACGTGGAACGTAATCATATATGTGTAATTATATGTTAAATAGGAACCGTTTGTGCTCAAGACTCCAATTGACACCCAACAATCCTATATCGATCTTTCATTCGAGTTACTCACTACAGGTGAGTTCATACCCCTTAATTAACCTTTTAAATGTTTTTAAATGCTTTTATGGGGGGGGGATACAAGTTGATCTATTATAGTTATTATATCAATCACATGTGATTAATAACTACCAAACAAGTGTATTTCTTACTTTTCAAACTGTTTTACTTCAAACTGTTCTACAAAACCCTTTTTCATGTCAAATACTTTTACTTAAACTCTTTTACACTTATTTTCTGTTAAATGTATATCTTTATAGATATACTTATATAAGTAGGATTGAAAGGACTTAGAACTGATAACTCACCTTACCTCCTGTTCCTCATTTGGTTGTGGACTTAAGGTATCGGTTATTTGTCCGAAGGTCGTTTGAATCCTAGTTATATATTATGTATATGTATATAGATATAAAAGTTCATTCTTTCTATTCAAAACCTTTGGGTAGCAAAGGCATACATACATGTTTATACATTCAAATCATACTACTAGTAAGCTACTATAGGTGTAGTTTAGGGAGTTACTAATACTATTACTAGAACAATGAATCATACAATGAGTCAGTTCATACATGAGTCAATACATGCTAGATAGAGAGAGAACACACAATACAGCTAGTACACACAATATATTACAATACATGCTAGATAGAGAGAGAACACACAATACAGCTACTACACACAATACATTACAATACATGCTAGATAGAGAGAGAACACACAGTACATTACAATACAGGCTAGACAGAGGGAGAACATACAATACAGCTAGCACATACATTACATATACATTTCTTCAGTTATGTGAGCCACGTAACGAGGCATGGAATCACCTGCCATGACTGTTTTGTATCCAGAATCTCCTTGTTGGGGAGCGTATGAGTTTGTGTATAGATCTATACTGGATTGACTATCCTACACCCTGCTGCTCGCTACAGTGGGACTTGCAAGTCTACGGGTGCCAAACGTTATTTCTTACGACGTCTTACATCGTCGTTTTTCTATAGAGTCGGTAGCAGGATACAGGCCGATCACATGGTACTTTAAATTACAATTGGTTTAAGGTAGTTAGTACAGCAGTAGTTACTTAATACAACACTACAGTACTATTTTATTTTCCCATTACATTTACTTAGTGATTTTCACACAATAAACAATAATGTAAAAATTATATTTTTGGTTAATGATAGTCAGATTTGGGAAAATACATACTCTTACAAGAGACACACACACAGATACTAGATGCCTTGGTAGAAGGCTACTTTTAGTAGGAAACATAGTGTTTTCTAGGAGATTCAAACCTTTTACAAACATTCACGAGCTTTTACATACTTACACTTCACATACTTACAAATACTTTCATACAAATACAGACATTAAAATACTTATGATCTCACCAGCTTTAAAGCTGATACTCTCTTTCAAAATAACTTGTATCCTCAGGTCACCAGTAGACAGGTACCGATGCAAGGTTTAGAGAAGATGGAGCTCGTTCAAGACTCATATTTCATTTGTATTTATATTTTGGTGTCTATTTAACTTGACAGAACACACACTTGTATTAAAATTATATTATTAATGAAATGGATGATGTTGTTGCTTGTTTACTACTATTCATTGTTGTGATACTGTACATGACGTCCTCCGCCCCAGAACGTTTCCGCCGTTCTTGGTTTTGGGGTGTGACAATAATAATGACTTATGACTATAAATATAAGTTACACTGAAAGAAAAAGAGTGTAGCTTAACATACAAAGGTTTTAGTGGAAACCGGGAAATTGCGATGGAAGAAATCCGGCTCGAGAGCTTCTATTTTTCGGGCTCTTTGATGCCTAGAGCCTTGCTAAACACCCCTAAGGACTAGAAGAACTTGGACTCAAGAGGAAAGAAGTGTTGGAGCAATTGGGTTTGTAAGATGTGAGCAAATGAGAGATTGTCGCCACTTATTTATAGGCTACCAGGACCAATTACGACCAACGTAATTTTGGGGTATTCACATCGTAGTGCGTACGCCCAACGTAGTGGCGTATGTAGCAAGCAAAAACGCGGCTAAAATGTCAATCTTCAAAAATTCATAACTTTCGCATACGAACTCCGTTTTTGACGTTATTTATATCCACATGTGGCTATTTCTGAGTACTACAACGTTTCTTTTAACCCCGTTGGCTAATTCTCGACCGATTTTAAAGTTAACAGTATGAGAAGATTACACTGCTAATGATCGTGTAAAATTCATAACGTCTACGTATAAACTCTGTTTTCGACTGTCTTTTTATCGTTGAACTCCTATTAACGAGATATTCGATTCTCGTTTAGATTATTTGGGTTAAAAATTGACCGATCTAAAATTTGATTTCTAAGATGTACGCTGCTACGCTGAATCTTAGAAAAATCATAACTTCTTCTCACGAAGTCAGATTTGGACGTTCTTTATATGTACGCTCTCGGTTTAATGACTAATATGAATTACGTTCAGACCTCATAGGCTAAAAGGTAATTTATCAAAAATTCACTTTTTGAGATACGCAGAGTCGTTTTGGAGTTTTTTTTTTTTTTTTTTTTTTTTTTTCTTAAAAAATCGCTCTTTTCAAAAGTGATTGTAAAAAGGGGCTGACTGAAATTGGTTTGTAAAAATGGAGTTGTGGCCTCACTTCAATCATCCCTATGAGTTTTTTAATTACATAAATGGCCCTTGTATTTTATTAGAATTTTCAGTTTTATATTATAAAACTTTTCAATTACACATTTACCTTTTACAATGTTATTTTTATTTTCTACCTTTACCAACTTTATTAATAATATTTCTTTTATTATAAATATATTATTAACGTGATATTTTTAATTACTAGATCAATAAAATACATTACTTACATCGTATTAAAGCGTGGTTGAGAATTTTGACAAATTTTTCGATTATGACCTGGTTGGTGGCATAATCCACATTTGTGAGGTTCACCGAGATGATGCATGTCCATCTCGTTACGTATTCAGTTTGCACGCCTCCTACCTCAAGCAATAAAAAGTTTTGAGTAATCCGCTTCAATCGCCCAATTTGAATCCAACCAATAATCAACATGGGGAAGTGGTGAAAAACTAGCATTATATCGTTACGTATTCAGGGTTTGAAGACTACAAAGCTACAATATACTTAGGTAACTCAACAAAGTTACTCTCCCAAGTTCCATTAATCTTCTCTATGGATTTTTTTCTCCTACCATGCCATTCCTTATCATAAGAAACATCAACATGCTAAATAGTTTTAATATCTGCTTGTATATGTTTCACCAGATAAGCAACATCTTTTTCAATTGAGTGGATGATATATGAAGAAATTGTTTTTGAGTTCAAATTTCCTTTATCATTGCCAATACAAGATCCAAAACAGTTATATGCATCCACCTAACGTGTAATCTGCCACATATTATGACTTTTCTTCTTAATTTCATGAATATACCATTGACAAGGTGATGCATGACGCATAAAACTAGAGCTTTCTCCTTCATCTCGTACAAGCTACAGTCTTACATTTTGCTACCCATTTGGTACTTTGAACTCTCCAAAGTCATTATTTGTCTCAAGTCTATCATCATTAGGCAAAGGACATGGTGCTTCAAAATTACAGAGGAAATCTGCAAAACTAGTATTTATTGGTGGTGTTATTTGTTCTATGTTGACATAAATTTGGCCATAATAATTTTCATCATTCTTAGTTAAATAATACATCATGTCTGAAGATGAATCATTTATGAGGGGTGCCCTATTAGATCCCACAATATTGGTAACATAATGACAAATTCAATTTATAGGCAGACTTTTAAACTCCTACATGTGTATAAATCAAATCTTTAAATTGTTCATACCGTATTTTGTGCCTAAGAATATCCGAAGCAGACAAAGTTGCTTGGTCACCCTTGTTGAATCCGTTTTCATATTCAATATTACCACCCCAATATAAAATAATTATAAAGGGACAGTTTAGAACCATAACAACGGATATAAGAGAATTTAACTGCAAATCATAGGACAAATAACATAAATTAGTATCTTAAATTTAATGTTGACATTGTTTATATATGCAAGATATATATAAATAAATGCACACCTTATGTTTGAGATAGAAAAAAACTAATAATACAAAGATGAGAGAAATATGGAAATTGAGGATGCAAATATGAAAAAAATCCAATTCTATGATTGAAATTAATATCACCAAAAAGTAAAATGTACTCGATTATAAAGAATTGAAACGACAATTCATCAACAGTAGAATATCAAATGTATAGTCACATTTTTGGATTCTTCAGTTATTTTGAAATTGCTTTTATAGACATTATTATTGATTGGACAATTCATATATAAAATTTGTATAATTATTTATTTTATATCTACTTCTAATAATATCTATATAACTATTTAATATATATAATTTCAATAAATTTAATATTTATATTGATTAAAGGTAAAATAATTTTTTTAAATTATATAAATTATTAAGGTCTATGTATAAAATTTAATAACATATTTATAAAAAAGTATTATTTATAAATTAAGGTGGAAATGGAAATGAAAAATATAAAAGTCAAATATATAACTGAAAATGATAACTGCATAAAATTAAAAGGACCATTTATGTAATTTAAATGTATACGCAAAGAGGCGGGGGCCACAGTCCCATTTTTTAAAATGAATTTCAAACAACACCTTTTTATAACTCTTTTTGAAAACAACCTTTTTACAGAAAAAAAACTCCAATAAGTGATACAAACAAAAGTTACAACGAAAGGAGGATCTACTCCTAAACAAATTTGAAGAAAACATAAATGGAAACAATGACATTTGTCGACCCAAGATATCTATATATCTTGATCATGAAGAAAATTACTATGACAAAAGCTTCAACAAGCAGCAACTATGTATTCTGTTATATTTGCAATACTATTAGTTCTCACCGGTATCTTGTTTTGGCGATTGCGATCAGCTCATCTCCGCCACAAGAAACTACCACCTGGCCCTACGCCCTTACCAATCATCGGAAGCCTCCACTTACTGGGAACCTCCCCCATCGTGCCCTCCACAAGCTCTCCCAAAAGTATGGTCCCATCATGTCGATCCGCCTTGGGTCCATCCAATTTGTGATAGTCTCTTCGCCGGAAGCCGCCAAACTCTTCCTTGGGACTCATGATGTTGTTTTTGCTTCTCGTCCCAATATCCAAGCAACAAAGTACTTCGCTTATAGTGGAAAGGGATTGACTTTTACGGAATATGGATCATACTGGCGAAATGTAAGGAAGTTTTGTACATTGGAACTGCTTAGTGCTAAGAAAATTAATAGTTTTGCAGGGATAAGAAGGGAGGAGATCAGGTTGATGCTGGAGGAGATTAGGATTGCGTCCGTGGGACGTAAGGTGGTGAATTTAAGTGAGACTGTAGGTGCGCTGATTGAAGGCATGACGTGTAGGATGATATTTGGTAAGAAAAATGATGACAAGTTCCTTTTCAAGAGCGTAATGGACGAGAGCATGGAAGCAATAGGCATCTTCAATTTGGCCGACTATGTGCCCATGTTAGCTCCGTTTGATCTTCAGGTAATTTCATAATTTTTACCTCAAGTTTTATAAAGCTCGATTTTGATATAGCTTTCTTGTTGTGCAAAAATAAGGCTTAGTAATTTAATCAAACCTTATAGGCTTACCAGACGAATATCCGCGCGTTGCGCAAAATACAATAATATATTTAGAATTTTTACAAATATATGTCTTTTAAATATATCAACGACGTTGTTGTTAGCTCTTATATAATAAATTTTATAATAAAGTTGGTATAAACATGATTTGTTTTAAATTATATGATAATGTAGACATCTTTTAAAATTCTATAATCTCAATTGTTTCAAGGGTCTCAGTCGCGGGTTACTAATGAATAAAATTAAATATAATATATGGTTTAATGATATTTATAGTTGTTTTTATGATTAATTAATTTTAAAAAATTTATTTGCATAAGATTTTAATTTCTATCATTGTAATTATTTAAAATATGAAATATTGTTTTTGTTTTTAAAAGTAACAATATAATTATTGTATATAGTGTTACTTATAACTATTGTTGTTGTAAGTTATTTACAATAACGTTTTAGGAAACGTTTAATTATTTTAATTTAGTTTTAGAAATTTATTTTTTTAAAATTTTTTTGATGAATATTTTTAGTTTCTTTTATTGTAATTATTTAAAACAACATTGTTTTTGGTTTTTAAGATAACATTATAATTTTTTATATAATACTACTTTTAACTATTTTTATTATAAGTTATTTTTAAGCTATTTATTTGAAAATTCTTAATCATTATAAAAAAATAGTTTCATGTTTTTTTTTATTAATTTAGGATTACAATTTAGATTTAACACTATAATTTATAACTTTTAACTATTTATAAAACTGTCTCTTGATTTTTTTCAAGTTTAACTGAAATTTTGATTTAAATTAACCGTTTCACATTATATTGAAATTAATAATTTAACTATTTTGCATTAAATCATAAATTGTACAAAAGTTGTGACTTTAAAATGACAATTACTTAAATACGACAACATATCTAAACTAATAAGTTAACTATAATATGTTAAAAAGTTAAAGTTATAATTTTATAAATAGAAGTAAAATATGATATTTTAATATTGTAGTTTAGTTAATTTATTATTAGAATTTAGTTTTTGCATTAATTTAACATTATTAACAAATTTATAATAATTATTAGAAAGAAATTGAAAAATCATGAAAGTTTCAAATATATGTGGTACAAATATAAATGTTTCTTTTATAAATATATATTGATGTTAATGATCTAACACACAGCTTTACCTCATATTTATGGGTTGAATGATTGTAGACATATATGCATTAATTGTTTTTTACTTTTCTACTAAGAGCATCTCCAACCTACTTCTATTTTCCATTATTTCTCTCATTTTTATCTCTATTCCTCTCCAATCTACTCCATTTTAGGGAAAATGAACAGTATAACACCATATTTGGTCTTATACTATTTATTTCCCCTAAAATGTTGATGAATTTTGAGTTGTTGATTTTAGTCCCTATTTTTATATATTTATACATTTTTGGTTTTTTATTTATTAATTATAATTTAAATGTAATACTTAATGCTTATAATATTGTGTTATATATTAAATTATTTTAATTACTTATAAATATAAAGTTTGTTTTTGTTTATCAAATTCATATTAAAGTTTAAATACATATTGAAATTTTATAAAACACAATAACGTATTTTACAAAAGCTTATAATTAAGTGTTATAAATATAATCTTATTTATTTAATATTATTGTAATGAAAAAAATATAGATCATATATTTGTTAAAACCAAATTAATAGAAGAGATGTGTTTCACAATTTATATAATTTAGAAGAATGGAATATACTTTTTGTAGGTAAATGGGGTAAAAAATGGAGTAGGATTGGAGATGAAACACTATTTACCTTATTTTTTATTTTATTTTTTAGGGGAAAATGGAAATAGGTTGGAGATGGTCCAAGGCATTGCACCTTATTATCATACGTCATGTTTTCAAAAAATAAGTAAATTATTATTATTTATTAAGAGTTTCATCCAATCATAAGTTGTTCACAATTTTAGAACAACTGCATTAGCATTAGAAACTTACGAAGCTAGCTAAACATTAAAAATGACTACAAATCACAAGCAATAAAATAGCATTGCAACCACGATACTACATTAACTTTTAGTTTGTGATTTCTATTAACGAACCAATCAAAAAAGAACATGAGCTTTCAAAAATAGTATCTTTAAGAAACTCATTAGATCCAAAACTGTGGGGGCCGGACATATTTGTTTGGTTACTCAAATTTTGTTAGAAGTAGCCCTATTTTCTAGCACTGGTAATTAACCTTATTTCGATTAATACATGTAGTCATGTGATTAGATTTATTTATCGATGTAGATCAATATATTTGGTGATGATATAATGACAGACAAGTTAATAATATAGCGCACAATTGTTCTAATCATAATTTTGCTCTTATTTGGTTTGAGTGAATACACTTTGGTCTTATTCAATACTTAATAGTTGTCCTTCAAACCCTTCAATCTTGTGTATTTTGTCATTAAAAGGATTTAATATGGTACCAAACATCTCCTTATGATAATAATTCCTAAACTGGTACTCCCCATAAGTTACTGCATAAATAATATCAAGTAACATTTACCCATTCTTCTGCATTTTAATACTCCTAGATGCAAAATGTAGGTCACTTTACATATATAAATCACTGTTAGGATTTTTGGTTATCTTGATGGTGCGATTGAATATCATAACAATGATGAAGCTGAATGGATTATAAATATCATTGTTTTTTTTTGGAAGAGACCGAAGCCTCGGCAAACTAAAAAACATTGTTAGCTTCATGGATTTATGAAACTGTTAGTGATGAATCATGAAGCACGAATATTTCAACTGATGATACTACTTGAACTCATGATAAGTAGAATAATATTGTACTAGTTGCGAAACTCATGTACTACATGGGTTAATTTAAAAAAAAAAGTTAAATATAAAGTTCAAAATATTTAAAAACTTTGAATTTATAAGAAAATAATATAAATAATGAATTATTATAATTAAAATATTTTTTATCTTTTAAATTTAAACAAAGAATTTAAATCTACTCTAATAAATGAAAGTTTTTTTGCCATTTGTCACACTCTCATTCAATATGCCAAATGTTATTTTGTGGTTAATTTAAATTAATTTTTTTCCCACATATCCTTTTATGAGTTTCTATTTTATTAAATTCCATATAATATTTTAATGTAATAATTACAACAAATGTAGTAATAAATTAATATCAATTTTATTAATAAACTTACCTTTTAATTTCAAAATTTTCAAAATTAAAGCTCATTAGTTGCTTTAAAAGATAAGTTTATTAATAAAATTGATATCCATTTTTACTACATATATTGAAATTATTACATTAAAATATTATGTGAAATTTAATAAAATAGAAAACTAATAAAATGACATTACGAAAAAAAAAAGTAATTCAAAATAACCACAAAATGACATTTAGCAAATTGAATAAGAGTGTGAAAAATGGCAAAAAAAAAACTTTCATTTATTAGAATAGATTATTGTGTCTGTATTTTACGCTAATCTAGGCCGAGAATGTTTAACACCCTCTTCACGTCATCCACATAAAATTTGGGCTAATTCAAAAACAACAAACAAGTTAAGCCTCTACAAAACCGAAGACAACCAAAGTGTACCCGACCCATGAAAATGTTTTTTATCTTTTAAATTTAAACAAATAATTTAAATAAATAAAAGAAACTAATGAGCTTTAATTTTGAGAATTTTGAAATTAAAAGGTAATTTTATTAGTGAAATTAATATCCATTTATCACTACATTTATTGCAATTATTACATTAAAATATTATGTAAAATTTTAAAAATTAGAAAAGCTCATAAAATGACACGTGGAAAAATTAATTCAAAATAACCACAAAATGACATTTGGCAAATTGAATGAGAATGTGCCAAGTGACAAAAAAACATTCATTTATTAGAGAGGATAAATACATACTAGTTTAGATTTTTTTGGAAACAATTTTTTTGGTTAAAACAAAAAAAAGTAATTAAAGTTTTAGGTATTTTTAAAGTTAACCCATTATTTTAAATCTAACCATATATATATATATATATATATAATAATTTAATTTTCAACCGATTTATAATTTAGAGAAGTTAAATTTCAATTTCTATTAAATTGCACAACAAGATATAAACCAAATGCCCATGGGTTATTTTGAATAACATATTATCTATGTAATCTTTAGACATATTAACTATATGGTAAATTAGACGGACGGTCCTCTGTAGTTTGGGGGAACTTGCACGCTTAGTCCCTAGCAAGATTTTTAACTCGGACGATGTCCCTTAAATTTTTGTCATTGGTTTTGGTTATTTGTTTTAAGGAAGGTTATATATTATGTTGCTTTTATCATTTGTTTTTCTCATCTCAATAATATAATCTCAATGTACTTCAGAAATTGTAAAACACAATAAAGTTCAAAATGATATCATTTTCATTGATAAAAAGGTATCCTTGATACAAATCATATTTATTAAATGCATTCTAAACAACTGCAGCTACATGACTTGATCTTGAACCTAACATTACAACTTGTAAACAATTATCACAAAAAACAAAACCAACTAATTATTAAAAATGTCCGGAGATACCGAAAGGACAAACCAGGTTTAAAGCCTGAGAGATATGAAATGACAAAAATACTCCCAACGTGCTTGTCACGTGGGGGTTTCTAACCACAAAACAGGCGGAATCTTAAGTGAGGGACCAGACGGGTTACAAATTTTAATATTAACGATTATCCAAGTTAAAAATCTTGCTCAGGGACTAAGCACGCAAGTTCCCACAAACCACAGGGACCATCCATGTAATTTACCATATATATATATATATATATATATATATATATATATATATATATATATATATATAATATATATATATATATATATGCATGCATATTTGTGCTTTTTTTCAATATTTTTCAAATCCAACACAACAATGAGACTCTAATAGCCGTGTTTAAGATAATCGCAACTTGAAAACGTTAAAAAAACACAGAAAACATAAAGATTCATGCATGCATATTTAGATGTGCATATATGCATACTTCCAAAAAAAAATTTATCAAATCTTTTTAATTTTTTTAGCATTGATCCCTCTTAGATGAAACCTTTATGAATATTGGTGATATTGGTTTTGAAAAATGATGAGGGGATTAGAATTTTTCGTGTTCTCGCAAATCTTTAAGTTCTCAAAATAACCTTCCTCTCTCTCTCTCTCTTCTCTCTCTCTCTCTCTCTCTATATATATATATTATATATATATATATATATATATATATATATATATAATGTGTGTGTGTGAAATAAATAAATGATTATATTTTTTTAACATATAATAATTTCTAATAACCTACTTCTAAACAACATTTTTGTGTACCATGGGACTTAGATTCTCAACCCTTTAAGAGAATTCAACCATCTAATACTATCTAATACTGGTAGGGCAATGGCCCTATATAAATATATAATTACATAGTGAGTGAAAAATATGTGGTTGGTAAAACCCTAAATAAGCCGTATACTTAAATGATAATAAATTTGTAAAAAAAAGTTCAAATTGTATAAAATTCAGAAATAACGTTCTATTAAGTTAGAGAAGTGAGGTACTTCGTCAAATGTGAACATAACCAATATTCCTAGTTACTTCTACTTTTATAGACCCCATCAGTACCAAATTAGTTGTTAATATGAAAATTATAACAAGATTCCCAGATAATATTGCAAAATCGTGTACATCATATATTCTAGACCGATTGATTGGAGATTCGTAGTTTTGATGACTCCTTTACTCTTTTGTCACGATAAATCTAATATTATTTCTTCTGATTCGGATTTGTAGGGCTTGACTAAACGCTTTAAGTTGTTAAGCAAGGAACTTGATGAAATTTTGGAGACATTGATAAATGAGCATGAAGAACACATACTTATTAAATCTCAAAGTCATGAAGAAATGGATTTTATCGACATATTGCTTTCACTAAAGCACCGGTATTCAAATACCCATGATGGCCTATCCTTTACAATTGATAGGTCTGGTATGAAATGCATTTTAGTGGATTTGATAGCTGGCTCCATTGATACCATAAAAACTTCTGTTGAATGGATTTTAGCTGCACTTATAAAACACCCTAGAGTGATGAAGAAACTACAACAAGAGTTGAAAGTTGTGATTGGAGATAAACATGTGGTTGAAGAAACAGATTTGCCAAACTTAAGTTACTTGCACATGGTAGTTAAGGAGACTTTAAGGCTTTATCCTATTGCTCCACTATTAGTTCCACATCAATCAATGGAGGATATTGTGATTAATGGTTACAATATACCCAAGAATACACGACTTCTTGTAAATTATTGGGCATTTGGACGTGACTCAAAAGTTTGGTCTGAAAATTGGGAGGAGTTTCTTCCAGAGAGGTTTTTAGACACAGAAGTCGATTTTCGTGGACATGATTATCAACTTATACAATTTGGAATTGGTAGAAGAGGATGTCCTGGAATGAATTTAGGATTACTAAACACTGGCTTGGTGGTTTCCAACATGGTACATTTCTTTGATTGGGAGCTACCGAGTGGGATGTCATCAAGTGACCTGGATATGAAAGAAAAATTTGGATTAACTACCCCCAGGGCTAAACCCTTATTAGCTAATCCTATATACCAAAACTGAGGAAGAGGGACAACATTTGTTAAAGATATATGACAGACACCACTTGAGCATGATGCAACCTTACCATATCATTTATAATATTTCATGTGTGTATTTATGTAAAGTTTGTTATTTTTTTCTGTCCATGAAAAAGCACAAGTTAACTAATGTCTTGGTTCATCGAAAATTGTACTGTGTTTTGAAATGGAACCGTTGTTCCAAAGAGTTGTTTGATTGTATGCATAATGGAACTATCGTGTAGGTTTCAAGCAAACAATTGACATGACCGTGAGGGTGTATCAGGAGGAGAAGTGAGAGTAGATTGTGTGCGAACAAATTTAGCTAGAACTGTATGTTTATCAAGAATCACAAACTAAATCGAATGATTACAATAAAAATTAGAACCTCTAGCCTTCGAGATGCTAGTATCACCCAGAGCTCTCGCTCTAACTGAAAATCAGTTACATTCAAAGCATAACCTACTAATTGAATGACCTCTTAATTATAACATGGTTGACTCACATAACGACTAAAAGACTACAATAACATGAAACAACTATCCTTATAACAAACAGAGCAAGACTTCATCTTTTAATCCGTTCGTTCTGTTTGAAAAGTGAATCACGAAGGTGGTTTATTCAAGTGTATACCCATACCCATATGAAAAGATCACACCTTGTTCTCAAGAGTGCAATCTGGAAATTATATCATAATTTATTTAAAGTCTTCCCATGAGGCTTTAAAGACAGAAATGTCTTTTCATTTAATCAACTACTCTAACTTGCCGACCCAACCTTCCAAAAGGTTAACGAATGTCTAAAATGTCCTCTAGGATAGCCAAAAATTCCAAAATGTCTTTTAAGTGAGAAGGTATAAATGGTCATGAAGAGCACTTTCTGATAGCTTTTCTTGATTGAGAGATGTAAAAATCAACATGCATCATAGCATTTGCAGGAAACTGGGA